TCGTCCCCGTTTAATCCAGCCAGGCCCCGCAGCATCCCAGTACGTGGCAGCGGGGGGGAGCACAGCTCAAACCACCCCACACGCGGATGCGCACGCACTTACAGCCTTCTCCAGTGATGTGCTTCGTGAATTCGTTCAGCCTAGTGAATTCATTCAGCCTAGAGGAGGCAGAGAGAGCTGCGGTGAAGCATTATCATCACGTGAAATGGGCCTCTTCCCATCCCCGAGATGGGCAGGGGGCTGCCCCTGCCTGCAGACCCCTTCCTGCTCCCCATCCCCGTGCCAGCTCTGTGCCCCTCACGGAGGAGCAGGGTGGGCAGGGATCGAAGTGGGCCCGGCTCTGCAGACACCCTCCGGCAGAGCAGCGGTGAGCTGCCTCCTCCCCCTGCTCCCCTGCAGCAAAACAGGTCCAGCAATGCTGCTTTTCCCCACACCCAGTCAGCCCAGCATTTGAGCGCATCCTCTCACCGGAGCTGGCTCTGCCCGGCTGCGTGGGGATTTCTGAGCACGGCATACAGCAGCGGCACGAACCCCCAAATGGAGTGGGCATGGCAGGGCTGTATACCCAGCCAGGCCGGTGTGGTTTGAGCTACCCCAGGCCTCCCTGCTCAAGGAAACACATCACGCAGCCCCACGCATGCTGGTGCGTGTGCTCTAACCAGGACATGGACGTCTGGGGACCGAAGGCGCACACACAGTGAGCGCCCTGGATCTGAGGCTGTCCCAGCACTTTCAGTTTTATACCCTTAAGCCAACCCGACTTCAATTCCTTGCCCTGTTCACGCAGAAGCGAAGGAGATGGGGTGCTGCGGGGTGCAGTGTCCCTGAGATCCCAGCCTTCCCCAGGGGTCTGCTGGATCCAGTGCTGCACAGGCACTGGGCCAGAGGCACATCCAGCCCTGTCCGAGGGAGAGCTTGGGGGGCTGCCCGCTCACCCCAGCCCTGCTGGTCACCAGGGACGGTGTTGTCCAGGTGGACACTCACTTGATGAACTTCCGAGCAAAGGATTTCAGCTTGCCCGTCGCTGCTGCCGCTGCCAGCAGCAAGTCCAGGCTCTTTCCAGACAGCATGTGGCCCAAGACCCCCAGCAAACCCTCAGGGGACTTGGAGTGATCCGCATCCATGGTCTACAAAAAAAAAAAAAAAAAAATAGAGGAAAAGAGAAGTCACGGTGCATGCGTGCTACAGAGCAGGAGTAAAACTCTGACCGTGGGAGCAGAGTTGATCGGCTGCCAGAGCTGTCCCGTGAGGCCCCAGTGAGCAGGGACCTGCAGGGTTTGGGGCAGGGTGGGAACGGAGCCCTGCGTGCCCCAGACGCTGCAGGGCACAGCGCCGGGGAGAGCCGCAGCGTGCCGAGACAGCACGACGGGCAGCAAAACATCCTCTCGCACTCAGCAGCGGTGAGGCAACCAGAGTGATGCAGGGACGGGATAGTCCCCGGGGAAGATGCACTCGGGGAAGCAGCTGAGAGCAGGATGGGCAGAGCTGGCTGGGCTCAGGCTGCTGGCTCTGACAATAATGTGCTGCCTGACAGCTCCTCCGGCTTCCTGGGAAGGAGGAGGAGAGCTCCTGGTCTCCACGGCAGAGCAGCAAGGCTGGGAGTGATTCCTCCATTCCTCCACCCCAGCGCAGGGGGAGATCAGGCACCTCCTAACCACCCCAGCTGCCTGGTGAGAGCCAGTGCTGCTGGAAACAGTTTCTGGGGCTGAGACCAGCCTGCCCGCACGGGTGCAGCAGGGGACTCACCTTCAGGATGTTGGTGACAGTCGGCTCAGCCCTCAGGATGAGCCCCGGGTTTGGTTGGATGTTGGCGTTCTCTGCCGATTTCAAGCGCGGAGCGTGTTCTCTGTCCGCCGTCCTGGGGGGATCCGCAAAGAAGGGCCAGTGAGCAGGAATTCGTCACCCTGCCGCACTCCTCCCCGTGGCTCAGCCACCTCCCACCCACCTCCACCATCGGCACCCCCAATTTTTTTTAGGCTACCCCCAGCGACCGCTCCGAGGGGACAGACTTTGACTGTACTCAGTCTGGCACTGAAAGCAAAGCCTGGTCCCTCCAGGCCACGGTGTCCCAGCTGCAGGACAGCCAGCAGCATCACAGCTGCTCCTTTATGCTCCCCCCCAAAAAGGGCAGCAAGATGAGGTGCTCCAACCCCACTTAGTTACCCAGACTTTTGAGAGGGCTGTACCGTTTGGCAATCAGGTTGGTCATGTTGGCCTCCGAAAGCAGCCCCTGCTTGCTGCACTCCTGCAGGAGTAGACTCGTGCAGT